GATTCACTGTCTTGCAGGGGAGCCTTACGCTCGGTGTGTGGCCAAGGGCCTGCTGCTGGCCTTCTTCTCCGTGGTGGCCCTGTTCCTCAGTGACCCCTGGACCAGAGGACGCAGAGCGTGACCTCCCGCCACTCTGGGCCCTCAGACCACAGACTCTTCCTCCGGCGATTTGCTGCACTCCGTGTAGTTTTAATGAGTGGAGGGTTTTGTTTTTGTCGGAAATGCTCGTCAGGCGCTCTGTGGGTCTCATTCACCGACGGAGCCATCCAGACGGGCATACAGACTCTTCCTCCGGCGATTTGCTGCACTCCGTGTACTGTTTTAATAAGTGGAGGGTTTTGTTTTTGTCGGAAATGCTCGTCAAGCGCTCTGTGGGTCTCATTCACCTACGGAGCCATCCAGACGGGCACCTCGCTGCCGGGCCAGACTGAGCAGCGTGCACGAGGGCCCGGGCCTGCCTCCTGGTTATCAGACGCGTTCGTTTATCCCAAATTACTCAAGTCACAGGAGCTTTGGTCCAAATATGTTATTTGTACCTTAGAGACAATTATTTCCTCAACTTTTTATATACAGCGTCCCAAAAAGTGTGTACACACTTTAACAGCTGATAGCTCAATTTTGAAAATGAAATGTATTTTAATAAACACTGCCTTTATAATCATCCAACATGTGTGTGTGCATTTTTTTCAGGACACCCTATGTTTCTGTGGAATTGATGGAAAGACCTTAAGTTTCAAAAAAAAAAAAAATTAACTCCAAGGATCACAGGGACCGTATGTTAAAAACAGGCCGTTCTCCGTGAGGACAGTTACTCCCCGGTGAGTTAGAGGAGTTCCTCCCGTGGCACCTGGCAAGGGTCAGGTTGCATTATGCGCTGGGAGTGAGGCCTTCACCCCCGGCCCGTGGCGGCCGCCGGGCATCTCGGAGCTTTCTTTGTGGCCAGATAAACGGGGTCCCTGCACCGGAGGGACTGGCACACGTCGTACACCTGGTTTTGAAGTCCTTGTAGAAGCTGAACACTGTCTTGTCGCAGGGAAGGCAACACCCACTGGCTGGCTGGCTGCAGTGCGTCAGAGTCTAAGGCAGCCAGTGCAGCTCCCGCTGGGAAAAGAGCTAGAAACTCCAAAACGGCTGGTCACTGATCTGATTGTTGCGTGGCAGTACCGTATGGTCTTTTCTACGCTCACACACTCACGTGCATTTGAGGGGGGGGTGCTGTTCCCACCGGGCCCTTGTCCCGTGGAACTTACATACTTTGGGGGGAAACTGGCAATAAACACAGACGAGGATTTCAGACGGCGGGAGGTGCGTGAAGGAACTAAACCAGGGATGTGGTGGGCTGGGCGGGGGCAGCCGCTCAGGAGGTGACATTTGGGCTGAGCCCCGAGGAGCCAGCCTCGAGAAGGCCCGGCAGGGGGAGGGTCAGCAAGGTGGCGGGCACCGGCCTGGAGCCAGCGCAGGCGGAGGAAGGGGCCCCATACCGCGGGGTCTTGCTGGCCGGGGAGAAGTTGGGGGTTTTGCTC